AATAATCGAGACCTTTTCGGCTCGCTCTTGTTGCTGTTAATTGCACTAATGTGCGTAATTTATAAGGAAGTGAGTGGCGTGCGAAAAGTTTTCGCCCTACTCTCGGATACTCTGGGATATTTATGGGTCGGGGCGAAAACATTTGGCCAGGCAATAATGCCGAAAGTGCCAAGCAGAGACTCGTAAATAGCGCCTCTCACAAATCCCAACCCTTGGCGAAGCCAAGCCCCATCCCCCATTGCCAAGTTTCGGGATAAAGAACCATTCGGCCACCCCGATTCTCGCCTAATAGCAGACAATGCCCCATTGGCCCCCGGGGAGCATACAATTTCAATAAATATTTCACTGCATTAGCCCGGTTCTGAGGGCTTGGCCAAATCCTGGCCGCGCGTAGCTTCAAATTGCTTTTTTGGTTCGGCAATAACGTGCATTAAATGTTTTGCCCATTATCATTTCTGGCCAACATCTCCATTAGCCGAAGCTAGAGGCGCCAAGCCATATGCTGAATCAGTCGACAAAGAAAATACGTTGGCTGTTATGAAATGATTTCTATTTCGATACAATCATCATCTTCAAACCGCTAATATTTCTTTGCCTTGCATTTTAATAGGTTTATTATGTGAATATTAAATATTTAAATATATACAAAAATTATAATGGTTCTCAAATATATTTATCATTGATTTATTTTAAACATTTTTTTTTATATATTTAGATAAAAATTCCAACTAATTTATAGATTTTATAGATGCATCCCTAAATTTTATGATTAACATTTCAATTAAAATGTATAGATTAGCATTTGCGGCCACGAACTAAACTTAAGTATTACAAATCAATTAAAATCTATCCATCTTTAATATCTAATATCTAGAAATCGGATTTTAGGTGCAATCGTTTTTTTTTAATATGATTTCAAGCCACATTTGATTGCTTTCAAATTTTGTTCAGAAAAAAAAATAAATAAAAGGATTTAAAAAATACAACAGAAAATTAATCGTAGACTGAAATCGTATTTAAAAAGAACGATTTGACCTAAAACCCGATGTCTATCAATATCTATCTTTGAAAATGAAATTATTAGACAAAAAGCCAGTTAAAACGTGGTTCCAATCTTTTCAGTAAACCTTTAGGAACCCTTGGAGCCGCAAATCAAGAGCGATTCGAAAGACAATGACGGCGGGCGATAGTCATCTGCAATTGTGGCACTCTTTTTGCTCGGCTAGAAGAAAGGTAAGAAGACGCAGGGCGAATAGTTGCCTTTTGGCCAACAAAGAAGCACCTTGATTGCCAGCGAACACTACCAACTGGTCTCAACTGAAACGAACCGAACCGAACCGAACCGAGCCAAGGGGAGAGCTTTCTTTCATTTACTGACAATAAATTTTCATTTTCTTGGCAAATCGTTCCGTTGTTGATGCCCGTATCCTGGATCCCAAGTCCTAGTGCTGCAATTGCAGATTGCGTCGATTGCCTCTGCCAGGCACATATGCCGCATTTTTGCACCACAACAATTTGGTTGGCACAGCTCATTGTCTTCTCGGGGTATTCCCCGTATATAGAGGCCCAGGCTCCGGCAGCAATTGCAATTGCTCACAAGTTATCCCAAGTGGAAATTGCTCGCTTTGCCAGCCGTTGTTGTTGGTGTCTGGGCTGGCAAATCGCAATAAAACAAAAGTGATTGTCAAGTGAATGCGTTTGTACTCCCACAACGAAGGCACATATAGAGTGCTGGCTATATACATACCATGCCCCTCCGGATTGCGGTTGATATATCCCCTGGCCGTGGAACGTGCAATTCATCATGTGCGCTCTACTGGGTAATTCGGAGTGATTAAAAATGTTATTCATATGCACTTGATTGATGGATGCGAGGGACTGTAATCGACAGATTTGTGCTCGGATCGGCGGGCAGGGTAATTGAAATGTGCTGATATTTCGCCCGACGCAGTCACACTTCCTTAAATGCTTAATAAACATAATTCCGTTTAAGCAATTCCTTCCGCTGCAGAAGCCACACGCAATTTTCGACCAACACGCAGGTAGTTAATTAAGGGTGTGAACTGGTTGAGTTATGCGTGGACGTTCTGGAGGTCTAGAACCCCCATTTCTGCCCCTTCTCCGACCCTGACAGACAGGGTTCAGCTTAGAGGACGGCCGAATGGGCAGTAAATAATTCATTAGCGGCTTTTAACAATACATTTTTGTTGGCCACGCTAAATGACCTTTCCGGCGAGCTCCTCTCCCCTGCACGGAGAAAAAATATACGCTATTAATATTTATAATGGTATTTAAAAATTTTATTGATCATAAGAATAATACAAATTTAGATGATAAATTTCAAATGTTTGCCAAGGCAAAACTCGAACATTTGTTCATTCATCCTAAATCATTTAGTCAATGTAAATCCAAACTAGTTCTGATTTCTTCTCAGTGTAAATTAGGCTCTTGTATTTTTAGTTGGGCACTTATTTTAATGAAGCGGCAGCTAATTAGTTGCATCGGTTTTGATCTCTGAACCGCCGGCTTCATTATGGCTGGAATTCGACGCTTTGTATTTTCTCGCATAGCCGCGATAAGAAATGCGGATAAGAGATTGCCGCACCACCTGCGCATTGCAAACAAACAATGTGGTTATTTTTTACATTTTGGCACATTTTGCAGCGGCTGGCAAATTAAAATGCAATAACTCTTCATCAAGGGGGCTTCCCCCGGCCGAAAAGCACACGTGAATGTGAACCGAGGGCAGGAAATGTGCTATAATTGAAAAATGTGGTAACAAGACGCTCCACCACCGCACCGCCGAACCACCGCACCACCACCGTGTCGGGCCTAATGAATGCCTCACTTTTTCCGTGTCTTTCGCCTTTTGCCCGGTTTTTGCATAACACGCGAGGAGTGTGTCAGGCCTTTGGTAGGATGGTTCTGGCTGATGGCCCGCTCGGCGGGGTGATAAATGCTCATCAGGCTTTAAGGCTGCGCTGGCAATTAACTTTTACAATGTTGTTGAAACGTAATCAAGTTGTCAGCGGCAAAAAGCCGACTTGGCTCGCAAATTATACTCCTAATTACGCAAAAGTTTTCTCCAACGCAGCGCGGAAATTCCCTAGGCCACAAGCTGTCAGCAGTCTAAAGACAATACGGAAAAGCGGCGAAAAGCGGGTGGTTTCGGCGGGGAAAATCCACTCTCATTGGCTAATCCTGGGGGATCCATTCGACTAATGCCCTGCCGGAGTCTCCCCCTCCAAGTGCCCGATTCAAATGTCTCTCAGTTGTCATAACAAACTTGGGGACTTCCATCAGACCCGTTCTGCGAAGATATATACAGAGAGAAATAAAGTCATGAATAAGAATTATATATTTTTGAACAGTAAATTAATAATTTTTGATTGTTTTCAATTTTTATATATTCAATATTCATATATTTTTTCCTCAAAAATTTATTTTAAATTTAGAATTTAGTTTTTCTTATTTAGATCCGGTTCTTGAACTTATATTATAATATACAACATATATTATAATAACAAAATTCATCGTTCATATATTTTAGGCAAGAAGATAAGTAGTTTGTAAATATAACTCATATCTAAAGTAATAAGTTTAATAATTGTAAATTTTGCATACCCATTTCCTCAATGTAATTTTTATATTCCCTCCTACTTGATTTTCTCCAAACAAAGCTGAAAAGCATTAGCTCCCCCCTGAAGTCTTGAGTTACAGTTGCCGGGAATTGACAATAAGCGGCATAAATTTTAAAATTTTATTTTTATCGCATTGCAATTTTCCTTGGGCCGCTTTTCATTTCCTCTTACGTTTTCCTTCTTCGGGCGTCTGTGTGTGTGTGTGCGTTTTAAGCCACATTTAAGATACTTGGCTGGCATTATTGACTTTCGAGTTGATAAAGTGCCATAAATGTCACCCCATTAAAAGCGGGAAACAGTCGAGGCAAAGGTAAGTCAAAGGTAAAAATACGCGACGCTCCTGGGGGTTGTTGTTGCTGGTTCGGTTGTCCTGGCGAAGAGAAAAGGAAGGGAGATAAATGCGGTTGCTTGCCAGGATAATGCGCCTCAACTCAATTGGGAATTTCGAAAGTAAAGTTGAATTTCATGTTCGGCTGCGGCAATTTTCACAGATGGTTTAATTGAAGTAATTACACACGAAATCCGTCAGGATTTGCCCCCTTCTTCCTCTCATGACACTTTTCGTTTATTATTTTATTATATTATCATATACTAAGCAGCACAAGCAGCATCATCATAATCCAGCCATTTGGGGTTTGGCGGAAAAGGGTTAATTGAGTTGTTTGCCTTTGTTTTATCTGCTTTTCCGCCACTTTGCATTTTCCCGACTTTCCGACTCTCCGACTCTCCTCTAATGAGCTAATGACAACTGCGTGTAATTATTTACCAGCAGCATAACCGGAAAGGTGATCACGTATTTATGCCGCAACATTTTAAGTGGGTTTTTCGTCCTGTTTTTTGTTTTTATTTTATGAGCCTTTTTGGGGTCGGTCGGAAAGCCAGTTCAACTGGTTACTGACCTATTAAGAATCATTAAAGAAAGCTGTCAAGGGCTAAATTTAGGTACACAAACAAAACTTTCCTACGAATTGAGCAAACATTTTAGCAGCAACAACTTGTTATTATTATATATTTTTTGGTTACCCTTCTTATCAATAAATTTATGATCATTCGATCGGAAAGCCAGTTCAACTGGTTACTGACCTATAAGGAATCATTAAAGAAAGCTGTCAAGGGCTAGCTAAATTTAGTTGCCCTGCTGAATTAAACAAAATTTTCCTACAAGTTAAGCAAACATTTTAACAGCAATAACTTGTTATTGTTATAAATATTTTGTTTACCCTTCTTATCAATAATTTCATGATCAAAATACATCTGGGTAAATAATGGATCTACGGGAGGCGTATAAAAAGCTTCCCAGCAGCCGAAACTTCAAGCAGTAGCTGCATCACTAGTTTCGACTCTCTAAATCCTTCCAATATGTTCAAGACTATCCTTGTCGTAGTAGCTGTGGTGGGAGTGGCCCAGGCCACATTCATCATTAAGCCCCCAAAACCGGTGGAGCAGACCACCAAGTGCCAGATCTATTGGTGTGAACGTACCTGGGCTCTCGAAGATTGTGTGTGCCGGGTCTTCCAGAACGGATGTCTAATGGGCGAGGAGAATGCTCAGCGGGAGAAGGCTGGAAAGACGCGTAAGATGCTTATAGTAGTCACTCTTTTAGATTTTATAAGTTATATTATTATTATTTTTTGTGTAGCTCTGATCCAGGTCTCGGAGAAGGTGTGCAAGAAGTTCATCAAGGCCAAGTGCCTCCTTGGATGGCCTGTGGAGGCCAAGTTCCCGATTCCGTCTCCTTGCGGTTGCAATGGCAAAGAGGGAAGCCTCGAAATCAAAAAGTTCAAGAGTCTTTGCGCACTCCTGAAATACGCAGCTGAATGCTCAAAACGTAAGAAAATGAACTTTTTTAAATATTGAATATTATTAACATTGATCTTATGCAATTTTTTAGCCTTCATCAGCTACTCCAAGTGTTAAGACGATGATATCTGAAGGAATTGACTACCTCGACCGACCCTTGTTATTGTTTAAATTTGTAACATGAAAATAAAATATATATCAGCAATACACTTTTCACGATATTTTTCTCCTGTACCTGGTTTTTCTAAAACGCCTAAAAATTTACCGTTTTTGAATTCTTTATTTCTTAAATTTTTTAGGGTCTGTTTTTGGGAGCCTGCTTCATATAAATATGGGCACTTCCAAAAAAAAGTCCACCAAGCCAAAAACCTTGAAACTTGAATAAAACATATTTCCACATGATTTTGCCCCGATATTAGTTTCTAATTAGTTGGATACTGAGCTTAACTAAAAATTTGGAGTACAGTTTGATTATTTTTATGACAAACCCCACCAATATACGCAAAAATCACTTTTTGGCTATTTTTTTGTTATTTTTTGGACCTATCTTCTGTTGTAAATTTATCCTATAGAAATGCTAATATGTGACATTTTTCTGTACTAAATGCTTCATTCACATGCTAAACTATTAAGTTAAAAGCAAAACATCCAGCAATTGAGGGATAGAGGTAAAGAAATCCGCTTTACAAAACAGTCGGAAAAAATGTCCCGAGCGACATGTCCCGAGCGAATGTGGTTGAAACTGCATAAAAAAAAAACGGCAAAGAATTTTTGAGTAAAACCAAAAGCATTTCACAGCGACATGTTTGAACGACATTCTTAAAAAAATCGCATTCAAATATTCCATCAGAATTAGCTAATTTCTGGTGTTGTATGAACTTCCCCGAAATCCACTTCTATTTTTGTCCCGAGCGAATACGGCAGTTTTTTACCGATATCTTAAAAACTAAAAGTGGTACAAAATCAAGATTTTTACCAAAAATAGAGCTTGGGAAGAGTGAAAGGAAAAGCCCATAATTAAAATTAAAATCCATTGTTTTATAATTTTTTTTAAACTTTAAAGATGTGCAAATGTCCCGAGCGACATTTTGGAAGTGCCCATATGTCTTAAGTAGGAAATTTCCTACTGTTTATTTCGGTCAGTCAAGGTTACGCAAACAATTATTTCTTTTTCGTGTGCAGCTAAAAGCGCACGTTCTGCAAACATTTTTTTCGGATCTTTGCTGTTGACTTTCTGCGGCACAAAGTCAACAAAATGGTTTGCTACAACTGCTAAAACAATGGAATATACTTAATATAAATAGCCAAATGGGTGGTATTCAGGAGTCAGTTATACTTTTGGTCACTTTTCGGATATGTTCAATTTTAAATTGCTACTTTTGTTGCTGGGTGTTTCGGGGCTCTCCTTTGGCAATATTGTCCAGGAGCCCGAACCGGAACCGGAGACTGCCCCTGAAGAGGAATCTGAGCCTGAAGAGGAACCTGACCCTGAAGAGGAACCTGAGACAGAATCTGATCCAGAATCCGAATCAGATCCCGATATAGAATCAGAATCCCACGTAGAATCTGAATCAGAACCTGAATCCGAATCCGAATCCGAACCAGAATCTGAATCGGAACCTTTACGAGGAACCAGATCCACAACTGTTGCCCCACCAACGGCGACCACACCCAAAGATTGTAATATATACTACAGGAACTATCAGTGGGCTCTTCAGGATTGCGTCTGCCGTTGCTTCCAGAACGATTGCCTTATGCAAATAGAAAACAAACGGCGAAAATGTGATGGCGAATCTCGTAAGTTATAGTTCAAATTGTACTTTAGGTTTTATTTAAATTATTAAATTTTATTTTAGCACTTGTGCCCGTTTCGGAGGATCTTTGCCGAAGTTTTATTAACAAGAAATGTAGCGTTGGATTCCCCGTGGTAGCTGAATTCCCCATTCCAGCTCCTTGCGGTTGCAATCGAAAGCCAGGATCAATTGCCACAGAGCGATTTTACAGCTTGTGCCATCTGCTGAAATTCTCAGCTGAGAACTCAAAACGTAAGAGTGAATTTAACTTAATTTCAACAGTAATATTGTTAATTCCCCATCCTTACAGCATTCCTAAGTTATTCTTATTGTTGGCCCTTCTAATTGGAATGAAATCTGTTGAACAATTAAAAAGTTTTTCTGTTGCTCATATAAGTTTAAGTTTATTTATTTAGGGGGAGATGGTATTTTTTAAATGTATTGGTTTTTATTATTAATGGTTTTTATTATTAATAATAAAAGTTTTGAATATATATAAACTGTTTCATATAAATAGAGTGGGATCAAATGTCCCGAATAATAGCCGGTTGAACAGAAGTTATGAACGGAATTAAAGCAATTTAATTAAAAAGTAAATAAAATAAATTAAATCAAATTGATACATTACAAGGGATTACAAAATTAAGGTTCCTGAAAATATCAAACTTTATTTTAGTACCTATTTAAAAATGCACAGTTTAGTTTAATAATTATTTTTAAATTGTTTTTTATTTGATTTTAATGTAGACTTTTTGATAACCAACTTGCAATGTCAATATCCTCAAATCACCTATGAGTAACAAGCTAAAAAATATATATTACTGTAAATGCATATGGTGCAGAACCAATATATTTACTTAATCAGCAGTGATATCCCAAAATAGAACCAAAAATCAACTGCTCAAATACAACTTTTCCCCCTACGTTGGCCCTATAAAGAGTCGTTGATCACTGCCAATGGCCACAGTTTCGAGTGCAATCCAGTTTATCCAAGTCGATCGCCATGTTCAACATCAAGGTAATCATCCTGATTGCCCTCACCATCTCCATGGTCCAGAGTTGTTCCATCCAGGAACCGGAGCAGGTCGAGTGTGGGTGTGGCAAGCCCCAGTGCTCCTCGTGCGGATGCAAGTCCTGCGGATGCGGATGCAAGCCCTGTCGTTCCTGCTCCTCATGTGGGTGTGGCTGCAAGGACTAAGTCCGCATTACAGGTGCGTTACATACCAAATATTCACAAAAAAAAGTTATTGAGGTATCCAAATTTCAGACCACGTCATGCTTGAGTCCCCCAGGACATCGCCCTCCAGGAATCATTGTTTCTAAAATTATTTGTTTTTCCCTTTCATTAAAGTGTTGTTACATTCTGCAAACTTTCATCTTTCTCGCACTTTGTGCGCTCAATTGTGAAGGGAGCGCTACAATGAGCAGACAATCATTTTCATTGCATTGATCACTTTTTTATTCATATCCGTTCACTCGTTGGCAAAGTAATTTCTTTGTTCTTTCCGCCACGCTTTCTTGATTTCCCCAGTTCCGCAATGGGGAACAAAAGGAAAAGTAATCATATCGGAAGCCGGAGCCCAGTTCATTTCCCCGTCCCCCGGATTTATCTTCTTTGCACTTTTCTACGTGAATTGGTTTTTTGTTCTTTTTGCCAGCTCCTTCAGTATTGCATTTCATTCGCTGGATTCTGGTGTACAGGAAAAAGGAAAGGTTGACAAATTATGTTTTCATACCGGAAAAATTATAATAATACGACCTATCTACAATCACTTTTGAAACTTTATCTTGTAAGAATTCTCATTACAATAATATAATAGTTTGATAGATCTGGACTAACTTATGTCATGACTAGCTAAAGATGTGGTCTTATTCGAATGCTCAAGGTTGGTAAGCCACCTTCCTTATAAATAAATACAGATGACCCACCTGGTCGCCGAGTGAAGCGGCTGGATGTCTCCGCCTAATAACCCTAAAAGCCTTATCGAGTCATTTAGTATGAAAACAAGCAATTAAAATGATGAATATGCAATAAACGTGGATTGTGTATACCAACACACGCACCGAACCACTGCCTCTCGAATAAAAATAAAGGATAGCGTCCTGCCGACCCATACATTTTATATGCTAATGAGCGGCGCACAAAAATAAAAAAGAGTCGAATTTTTTGGGGATTAAAATGAAAGGAAAAAGGCGAACATACATTTGCCTAATGAAAATAGCACCATTAAAATGGGAAAAACAACTTTAGATACCGAAATTCGAAACACGGCGAGTTTTGGCAATTAAAAGGATACGAATGGAACAAGCTCCTCTCAACTACCCGCTGTGCTGTTGAATATGTATGCGTTATATACGTATGTCTATATATGTATCACCATGATCGCCTAGCAAATTAGAGATTAACACGCATGTGTCGTCCTCTTTTGGGAAGTCCTCTGACTTTCAGTTCATTGACCGCCGCGGTGGCAATAAAACTAAATGACTCTGAAAACTTGGCGGCCAGTTTTATAACTTAACGAATTAGAGCAATTTGAGAGGACTATAAAAACGTCCGGAAAACCGCAGAGGTATGTTGAAAATTTCTCCTAAAATTTCCAGTGGCGCGTGCCGCCGACTCAGGACTCAGGTAAAGTTGGCCAGAAGAAGAACTGGGGGTGTGTTTAATAGGCCACAACGGGCATTAGAATTCCGTATAAGTATCGGTATCAGTTGGAAATTAAGTGCATTTCGAGGACTCAAAAATTGAGTGGGATGGGATGGGCTAGGGGAAGCAGGACACACCCGTGCCAGGACATAATTGCACTGTATCATCCAGCTATGCAAACATATTAATTAATTCGAGGCCTATGCGCCTGTCGGTTGTCAGTTGTCAGTTCATCTCGGGTCAACTCGGGTCGGGTCAACAACTTAATTATAATTATAGTGCACTGACACACTATGTTTTGCTGCATTTCCACGTCCAATTTATTATTTGTTTCTCCAATTGCTTGACCCCGCCCCGCCCCACCACTAATTTGATAATTGCAATTGCGTGTGTGCATTGGCGGTCGGCGGCTCGTTAGCCCGTCTGATGGGTTAATTGGCCTTTAATTTGTTGCAAATTTGCCGCGGGGACAGCAAATGCAAATACCACCCAATAGTGTCGACATAATGTTCGATTTACATTTACAACTGTATCGGGCCAACGTAATATATTATGATTAAACAGAAGCAGCGGTGTTTTAAATGTGATTTGCATTAGCTGCACACAAAAAAACCCTCCGGTGTGAAATAGATATATGCAATAAAAATATAATATCATTTTGCAGATTTTTCTCCCTCGAAGATTGTGACAGACACATTCGAACTTGAACTGGCCTACTTAGAGCATGTAACTTTAATTTTGAGCTTATTGTATTGATATGCCGCATATCAAATCAAAAATTGATACCACATCATATCAAATTGATCATCGTTTCATATAAATTTTTTTTTGGGTGTAGCGAAAAGAGTTGTTGGCCCAAAATATGCGAAATTAGTCTCCCCAAACTTGGTAAGCCAAATAAAAGTGGTTGGCTAAACGAAATTGATTGATGAGACAGGCCAAAATGTAGCTAAAACTTTGACAGATTGCCCGGAGATAACTCCAGATGGAAATGGAAGGGGGGATATCCGGAACCCCGATCCTTATCACTCGATTTGGCACGAGTCGAACAAATATTGTGACAGGAAAGGGGTCACAAATGTAAATGCGAGCAGCTTATTGACATTAATGTAACAATTGTCAAAGGATTTATTAACAGCCCTGAAGGGGATGCCGCAAGCGGCGGTGGTGGTGGCTCTCTAAGTGCTATCAATCATTTGATTGATATTAATGAGCTCAAATTTGCATTATTCCGATGAGGATCACATGTTTCGGTGGAAGTCGACTCTTGGAAACGAGTGTTTTGCCAAATGTTTGCATAAATTTCAGGCGTAATTAAGTTTCCGAAGCACGATTTTCCATTAGCAGTGGCAAAATATACAATGTATTGGCAATCAGATTTTCTTTCTCCAGCTGGCATGTAAATAAATTATAACGAATTGGCACAGACACAGAAAAAATCCTCAAATATCGAAGCCAGTGGAAAAGAAGAGAAAAACTCAAATGTAACAAGAAGATCAACAAGAAAGCCACAGGAATACAAATTACCAGGCCACAAAAAGCCAGACAGCAGTGCTCACATCCTGGATTTACAGAAAAATATATTCATGTAAATAGATATACACACCGCTCACTTACCCAGCCATATAAATGCACAGTTTGTGATGCATATAAAAAGCGGAAAGCAAATTTGAATTTTTAAATTAGTTTTGTTAACTTCGGCCGCTGTTGTGGAGTCGTTGTGGCAGAGCCTGGAAATGTTTAACGACTCGTAAGGAAATTGCAAAGTAAAATGTCTTCAGGAATTTCACATTTTCCCCGTACGTAATAAAAAAGGCGAAGGAAACCGGCAACAAATGCGCCAAAGAAAAGCCGCAAGATGGCGTTGAGTGGGCGGATGGTTGGGTGGTGGGGTGCCTTTTAGCAAGTTGGGGGTGGTTCCTTGGCTGCCTGTTGAAAATGGCGAATTAAATTTGAAATTGCGGTCGGTTGTTAGAGGGATACAGGGTGGGAAAACCCCAAAGAGAGAGAGAGATAGAGGGAAAATGTCACAGCAAGTTGAGGTAAAAGTTGCGTCTGGCATTGCTTTTGTTGTGTAAAATATGGAAAAATGTCTCCTCGCCCGGATAATGTGCGGCAAGGTATGCGACTGCTGCTTATGCATACCAAATGTGTGTGACGGCCCTGCCACGCCCACAACATGCCGCCCACCGCCCCCGAAGCGCATTTGAAGCGGCAGCAAGTTTATTTGTTTTGTCAGTCGCTGCACGCAGCTCGGAGACCAGTTGATGGCTTGGAAAATAAGCTCAGGGCTTTCTCCACAAACATTCTCCCGTTCTCATTTGAAATGCAAAGCAGCACTTTGCGGGGAAAAAATTAAAATTATGTTATTCCCGCCGCATCTTGAAGTAAAAGCAAATAATAATTTGGATATTATTTAACCGAAATCTTAATGACAAAGTTGAGGGTATCCTTGTAACAAAGATGTAAGAAATAATGGCCTACTTTTGGGAACAGGTTAAAAATGCTCTATACAGAATTTTTAAATGTAATAATTTATTATGCTTATAGTAAATCAAATAAAAACACCTCTTAACGAGGTAAAAAACTAGTGACGATCGCACCTTCAACATACAAAAGTTCTGATATCAACATTTGTGACGAAAAATTATTACACTCTTCATTAAATAGACTTTCTAATATTTTCTCATTCGGCCCGCCCTAGCAAACTATTCCAGCCTTTTTCCCTTCACAGGCATTTTCTATTGCAGCGTGCCGAATAAGAAAATATTAGAAAGTCTATTTAATGAAGAGTGTAATAATTTTTCGTCACAAATGTTGATATCAGAACTTTTGTATGTTGAAGGTGCGATCGTCACTAGTTTTTTATTTATTTTATTTTTATTTATATTTAATTTTCAATTTCACCGCTCTCTCTCCCAAGCCAATTGATTTTCTTACACTCAAAATAAATTTAACCCTAAATTTTAGAAAATCGCCATTAAAATTTCTTTTTTCTAAATACAAGAAAGTTATTTCTAAATCTAAGAATATTTTTCTTAAGTCAAGAAAGTTTTCCTTAAATCCAGGAAGTTTTTCTTAAATGTAGAAAATGGTTACCATGAACTAAAATCACCCTAAAATCTAGAAAAAATGCCCTTAAAATTAGAAATTATTTTCTGAAAAATAGAAAGGCAAACGAAAATAATAAAATATTTTGGCAACACCTTTTCTAAAAATTAGTGCCCTAACTCTAAAATGAAACCAACCCTAAATAATAGAAACATTTTCTAAAAAGTAGAAATTTTTTTTAAATAATAGAAATATTTGTTTTCACATGCTCTGGCACACCAAAATGTTCAATGCCAGAACTTGTCAGCTGCCGGCCGGCTGTACTCGTGGCGCAGACCGTTAAAGCACTTGGTTAGCAATCGAATCGACGCGGGTTCGAGTCCCAGAGCAAAATTTTTTAACCCTTTTTTTTATGTTATTTTATTTTTTTTATTTATTTTATTTTCTTTTCTTTTTATTTATTTTTTTACTTTTTTTATTTCTTTTTTTATTGATGGCAA